TTGCACGCACACGGGCAAGGCACGGACATGCGCGACACACCTGCACATCCACGCACCTGCACACGCGTGTGGTTCCTGGCTGTGCGTGTGCCCACACCTGCCAACATACGCATGTACAAGGCATTCATGTGTACACCCGCATGCAGGGTCACAGCAACCTGCACATGCACATGTAAGACATGCCCGTGTATGTGCACACACCTGCACTGCCACAGAGCTGCACAGCTGCACGCCTGCACACATACGAGGAGACACACCCATGTGGCCCACGTGTGCACAGACCTGCATACTTCATACACACCTCGACAGACACTTCTGCACAATCACACACCTGCCAGACATGCAAACCCAACAAACACTCCTGTGTGCGTGCACACATGCATGGTCACACACCTCCACACGTATGTGCAAGGCTCCCATGTGTGCAAACACATGCATGCGTGGTCACACACTCCTGCACGCATACATCAGAGATGCACATGTTTGTGTGCACACATACATCTGCACAGTCACACACCAGAGCACAAACATGCAAGAAATGCCCATGCATGTGTGCACACACACAAATGCTTGCTTACATACCTGCACACATATGTGTGAGGTGCTCGTGTTCATACACATGCATGCGTGGTCACACACACCTGCACACACACGTGCACAGGAATGCAAACACACATGCAAGACACACTTGTGGGCACACACCTGCACAGGCATACGTGCACATGAACACACATGTCAGCTCACACACACACACACACACATTTGCACACAGACACATGGACATGCAAAACCACACAAATCACATTCACACGTGTAGGTTCTCATGTAAGTGTAAATGCAGTGCACACTGACATTTGTACACACAGGTGTGCACACACATGTACACACACATGACTGCATACACATGGAAGCACATCCAAACAGATGCATGTACACCCAGACCTGTACACATACACTTCCCCCTGTACACACATGCACAAACATGCACATGAACAACTGTGAAAATACACCCCCATGCACAACAGTGTGCACAGTGTTCACATGTGCAAGCACATACGTGCACACTACATAAATATGAACGTGCACACAGATATGAACACACACACAACTAGATGTGTCTGTCCACTCACATGTGCACATGCTGCATACGCACATTTGTATGCACAAGCACATGCCCCTATACAAATGCATGCACACATGTGCACATACACAGTCACACACACACATGTCCAGTCTCTCAAATGTGCACATGCTGTACACATGGATGTGAACATGTGAACCTATGCACCCATGCACAGATAGATACAGATACACAGATAGATATAGATAGATGTAGACACAACAGGGGTGTGCTTCCATGTGCATGCACTCATGCACAGATGCTTGCACACATGTGTACACATATGGGAGCTTCCCATTTGTGTGCACACATATGTGCAGACACACCCACCCACACATTTTATCTCTTATTTTGCCTCTTTTGCAGTTGAAAACCCAAACCAAAACATCCCCCAGCCATCTCCTGCTGAAGGCTTCCTCTGAAATCTGATTCCCAGGGTGGATTCACAGCCCCAGATCCCACCCTCCTTTCTAGCCTTGCCTGCACCTTCACCCCATCCATTATACCAGCCGTCCAACCCTTCCTCCATCCTTCTGTTTCTCCATCAGTCCCTCCATCCCTCTCTCTCTCCATTCCTCCCTCTGTTTCTTTATCCCTTCATTCCTCCTTCAGTCTATCACTCCATACCTCCATCTTTCCATTCATCCCTCTATTTCCATCCCTACATCACTCCATTCCATTCTCCCACTGTCCCTCTGTTATAAATGCAAAGGCAAATTTGGGTTAAATAAAAGAACAATTTATTATAAAACAATTTTTATATAAAAAAATAAACAATGAGGAAAAACCACAATAAAATAAACAGCGCAGCGCTGGGTGGACAGGGGTCTATACCCAAAGGTATAGGTGTTCCCAAATCCACAAAGGAGGGTAGACTGTCCGGGGTTTTTATAGGGATTTTGTGTCCTGAGGCCAAATTCCAGGCAGGCACCATTCACCAAGGGTCCTTGATTGTTGTATGAATTGATTTCCTGGCGTTGGAGAATAGAGTCAAATAGACGTCCGGGCAGAGTCTCCTCATATGTAAAGAAGTTCTGAGTGTTCCTTGATTTCATTTTGGTTCAGGCCATCTGGATGGGATGGTTGGATCCGGGTTGGAGCTGATGGATATCTCGGCTGGACTTTTTTTCCCTTTGTCTGCCTGATTGCTTCCCCAACAGTGGCCTGCAAGGCGGGGTGTTCAGGTCCGGTGATGAGTATCTCGTCCGAGCCCTTCCCTGTCAGCCTGATGGTCCATGTCCTGTTCATTCTTTTCCGTTGATGGGCGCCGGCTAGGATCGTTATCTCTCGAATGGGAATTCGCGACTAGATCTGGGAAGGACTTGTGGGCCACACTGTACTTTATATTTTATATTATTATCGCTACAAATATATTTATTTAGATCTCTATGAATTTTTATAAGTTCATTTATCACACCTCCATCACTCCCTCAACCCCTCAGTTTTTCTCTGCATCTTTCTCTTTATTCCCTGGTGCCAATAAAGTCCATTTGCACTCAAATCACATCTATACTTGAAGCCCCCCAGCCTTTGTCAGCCTTGTGGCACTGCCAGCATTTCCACTGAGAGCAGAACTCCAATAAAACCAGTGAAATTCACACACCCAAATGCTGAATTACAAAGAGAAAAAGCAATTCCCACTCATCAGTGACTGCAGCTGCTGGGAGTTCAGTGAAAGACAGGATTACCCCTGCGGGGATTGCTTCTCTACTACAAAGCATTGTATCCCCTTACTGATTCTTAACCCCTGAGGATTTTGGGATTGGGTTTGATTTTTTTTCTTTGCTTGTCTTTGCCTGGAATGGCTTAATTTAATTCTTACCTGTAGGCAGATTGTGGAAACTCATTTTATGGATGGTATTGGAGCCCTCAGTGATGGGGATAGATGGTTCAAAGAGGTGCTTTTGGAAAGAGAATAAATAAGTATCAGCTAGAGATGTCTCTACATAGACATTGCTTTGTCTTCCAAAATTATATCATTCCTGCTATTACATCCAGTGCAATTAAAAGGGAGGATTACAGTTAAAGATTTAGGAAGCTCCTCAGTATTTCCCAAGTTGGGACCCAAGCCATAGTGCTCTGGGGCATCAATACACCATGTATCACCTTTGTAAGTGTGCAGTGTACTTCTGTGCTCATCTCTGCTTAGGCTGGGTTTTGCAACAGAATCACAGAATCATTGAGGTTGAAAAGTCCCCTAGGATCACTGAGTCCAACCATTCTGTCAGCACTGCCAAGGCCACCACTAAACATGTCCCAAATGCCACATGTACATGGCTTTTAAATCCCTCCAGGGATAGGGACTTCACCACTGCCCTTTGCAGTCTTTGCCACAGCTTGACAACCCTGTCCATGAAGAATATCCAATCTAAACCTCCCCTGGTACAACTTGAGACCATTTCCTCTTGTGTTGCTCGTTACCTGGGAGCAGAGCCCAACCTCCACCTGGCTCCAACCTCCCTCCAAGGAGTTATTACAAATGGAGATGAGCTTAGACAAGTTCTGCCTTTGACTCAGATTTCTGGCAGTAGCTCTGTTTGGGGGGGCCTGCACCCAGATTGCTTGTTTGCAAGTTCCTAATAATGTCTGATTAGGTCTATTGCAAAATGAATTATTTATTGAATAGACACAAAATTAACAGACATAAGACTTTGAACAGTCTTTCTACACAGGGTAAACAAAAAAGAACTACTAGTAGATAAAATACATAATCCACAATAAAAAGGTACCTATATTACAGCTAGCTAAGAAATAGTATAGATTAGGATTCAATGTAACCACCAGATTGATGATGTAGTACACATAGAATTCTTTCACTCGTTTTTCGGGAAAGTATCCACATTATTTGCGTCCAAAATCTAGGGAGAAGTCCTACATAGTTCCAAGGTGTGTGTGTGAAGCTTCTGCCTCTGTAAAAGTTTGTGTAGCTTTAATAGTTTGTAACATAAAGTGTCTGTCAGTCAGGAATTCCAACTTATCTCCCCAGTCTTGTTCTCAAGGCAGTTGTTTATTGGGATTTCCACCCCTGGGGCCAGAGAGAAATATCTCACTAGCTAGGCAAGCTGGCCTGGGTGGTCTTATCAATTCATGTGGGGGCGGGGGGAGAATGTCTGGAGCTGTCAAACCATCTGATGGGCAGAGCAGATGAGCTCTTCTGTGGTAGTGGGGGAAGTCCTGCCACAGGAGTTGAAGACAGTGAGAAGGTTCTCCCTTTTCTCCAGGTTGAAAGGAGTAAAGGAGCATCCTTTCCTCCAGGTTGAACCCCCCATATCCCTTGGCTGCTCCTCGTATTCCAGACCCTTCCCCAGTTCTGTTACCTTCTCTGGACAGCGTCCAACTCTTCAATGTCCTTGTCAGAGTGAGGGGCCCAGAACTGCCCCCAGGACTGGATGTGCCTCAGCAGGGCGCAGCACAGGGGGATGGTCACTGCCTTGGTCCTTTTGGATACACCATTGCTGACACAGAGACGCCCCTGCAACAACTTTTCATAGGGCATAGAATTGTTAAGGTTGGAAAAGTCCTCCAAGACCATTAAGTCTGACCATTCCCCAAGCACTGCCAAACCCACCACTAATCCAACATCTACATGTGTGTTAACAGGAATGGGGACTCCAGGAATGGGGACTCCACCACTGCCCTGGGCAGAACCAGGGCTTGAAAACTGTTTTGGGGAAGGAATTTTCCCTAATAACCAATCTAACCCCTCCTTGGTCCCACCATCCACCTCTCTGAAAATGTTGGTGTTGCACAATCCAGGAAGACCAAGAGCCCTGGGCCCACAGATCTCCCCACAGAATTTTGGAAATCACTGATGTTTTCTCACCAGGAAACATCCTGTCTCAAGGTAACGGTGCTGAAAGAATTAAAAACCTCCTTTGCTTTCTTGAAGCAGGCAGGGTCTGAAGCATTTGCAGCAGAAGACAAAGGATGGGGAGAGATTTGAGTGAAATCTAAACAAGTTTTATCTCAATTAAAGTAACCAATGCCATTAGGAAAAGATCCCTTGGAGTTTTACCAGAGCCCCGTTATCCTAGTGATTTGGGAAAACTGAGTCTAACAGATCCCTCATAGCCCAGCGTCTTCCTAGGCCTGACAAAGTGTGTGTGTGTGGGATTATTTTTCAGCTAATATCTCTGATCTGCTTCTGCCAAAGGCTGCTTTTAGTTTTCTTCCTGTAATTCTTGGCTGCAGTGACCTTGGGATTTGAAATGCCTGTTAGACATGTGAGTGAAGCCTTTGTACGTGGCCAGTCCTTTCACAGTGCTCATAGTTCAGTGCAGTCTGTTCATAGTATTATTCTGTATCTTGGTTACAATGAGACCTTTGGTTTTCCCAGCCTTCCCATGAGATGATTTCTTTGCTTACCTGAGTGGCTTGCCAGTTCCTTGAGGATTTTTTCCCCTCAAATTTCTAAATTTTTTTTCCACATAGTAAATTGCATCTCTTTGCACATGACAAGGCAGAGGCTCAGACTGTGCACCTGCTTGGAGATAGAAATGCAAAATGGGAGTCATATTTCCTTTCTCGACACCTTTATAAATGTGTGCAAGAATGCACATGGGAACTCACCTGCCCCATCCATCCACCATCCATCCATGTCTTGGCAGAGGCATGAGGTTGCTTATGTGCCCTGTGGTCAGCAGTGAAACACCCTTGTGTTGTCTCCCCACCTCCTTGGCTGAGACCGAAACCTATCCACATCACATCATTTGCAAACAAAAGTGACCTGCCTGTGCTCATCCCTTTTGCTTGTCCCTTGCTGCTGCTCACAGGGTGAATTGATTTACCAAAATATGGATATGATCTAGTATCAATATCCAACTGAGATGGACAAAGACTCTTTAACTGTTTTAAGGTTACAGAGTGTATGTTTATTAGCAGTGCTGGGCCACCCCTTACACACAGCCCTGAGTGCAGATGATTACAGGCTTTTTATTTGCAAAAGTATTGAATACAAATACATATTCATAACCCAGTTACCACCCACTCTCCACTTCCTATGCTAATTAGCAAAAAAAGCAATTAAGCATGTGTAGTTTGTTCCTTGAAATGGGTCGGTGGTCTTTACATGAGGAGGCATCACAGAAGGGAGGAAGGCATATAGCTCTTCCTCATCCTGACCTTTCTACCTTTTCCATGCAAAGTGACAAATGGACCCCTTGCTGGGCTCCTAGTTTCATGTCTTCAATGGATTTCTGATTTGCAATTGTCTTATATTCTTGAAGTTCCTTACCAGATTCCTTGTTTCTCATTACAAGCCCAGCTGAACAAGCATAACGTTGACAAACTTTATTGACAAAACAAAGTTGACTTTATTAGCCAATGATTAACCTCTAATTTTAGCAAGGCCTCTCTATATACCTTTAATTTTAGCAAGGCCCATCTATTTGTTTTAATTAGCTGTAACAAGGCTTATTTTTAATTAAGGCCTTATCTTCTCTAAAATTATAAATTCTTCGAAGTTTATGTCTCAGAATTGTAGGGGAAGGGGGAAAATAAAACTGGTTTACAGGCATGAATGCCTCATTGTCTCTGCCAACATCCAAATATTGCCAAATTTGAAAGAGACAGGATCTTGAACCTGTTGGGTCCTGAATGGAGTTTAGTTCCCAGATTTGTGTGGTAGAAGCATAAAATTGTCACCATCTAACAGTGTTGTGAGTCATGATGGTGTAAAGTCCGTGACACCTCCCTCTCCTCCCCATACAGCATGGTGCTGTGCGCAGCCACCACCTCAAATGTATGTTGCACAATCCCTTCTACTTTAACACTGGGTAGATATTGACAGGTGACTTTGCACTTTGCATTTGCCACTTGCTTCCTTCTCCTTGCAAGACGTGCATGCAGAACCCAAGATGAAGGTTGAGTTTGCACCATGGTCTGTGCCACTGCAGAGAAGGCTTCAGACAGCATCAGTGGCTCAATGGGTCTTCAGCTTCCTGTGTCTAGGTAAGAGACATCTCTTTTTCCTTTTTCTGAGAAGCCAGAGAAGCTTTCCATAGAATTGCAGTATGCTTTGGGTTGGAGGGGACCTTAAAGATCATCCAGTTCCAATCCCCTGCCACGGGCAGGGACACCTTCCACTAGATTGGGTTGCTCCAAGCCTGTCCCACATGGCCTTGAACAGGGCCCCAGAGATAGGGCAGCCACAGCTTCTTTGAGCAATCTGTGCCAGTGTTTTTGGCTTCTTCTCACTACCTGACCAGAGCACGGTGGCACTAAGGAATTGTGTGGCTGACTGTGCATGCCAATGCGTGGGACTATTTATGGGTCTTATGCAGCATCTAAAACCAGGGTGGGGTTTTCAGTTTCTCTTGCTCTTTAGGTTAAGAGTTTTCCTGGTTTAAGCTGTTGCTCTGCTTGGTGTTAGGGATGGTAAACAGAATTACCATGCTTGAGGAATGGTACTACAGGAACAGTGTTAGGGATTCTGATTTGCAGCCCTGGGAACCAACACTTCACTTTTTACAGATGCCTCTGCACATCCTAAAAAGTCATTTTTCCAAGAAAATCCAAGTAGTTTGAGGAAAAGACACATCAGCAAACTGAGATGCAGACAAAGTCACTCCTTGTTGGAGAGCATCAGGTGCCGATGGAAATGGCACACATGCAGTTTTGGATAGGATGCACAGGGAAATGATGATGGGAGACACAGGGGCACATCATCAGAAAGTGCAAACTTCCTGGGTATATATACAGCCCATCAAGCTGGAAAGTGATATCCCAGTGTTTCCTAGTTTTAGGGAAATAAAGAGATGGGAGTATCAGAGGTAGATTACCAGTGTAAAGTGTCTAGGGCCATTTACAGACCATCAGGAACCAAGCTGAAAGGTAACATCATAGAATTTCCCGTTGTTATGCCAGCTGTGAATCTCAGATTGGATGTGTGTAAAGATCCTCGTTTGCTGTGGCTAGACATTTGCTAACTAGCCCAAAACACAGCAGATCTTTGTGTGTATCCAGTTACAGGTACACAAATATCTCCAGAACTATACCTGCACAGAAAACACAGGCTGTGCTTCAGACTCCCACTCAGTTTCTGAGATGGGCCCTTCCAAGATCTGCCACAGACCTGAGCCTGAATGGCCTACCTTTGCACCAGTATCTGAGGGACTGGAGGACTGTGCCATACTTTTCCAGACAATGCAGCTCTTTAAATGTTTCTTGGTATAGGATTGGCCCATGCTATGTGTCAGGAAAATTAATCTACAAACACCAGAGGTTTATGTCCAAAAAAGAGACAGAGGAGTCCTGTAAATGTATTTCAATAAAAGGAGAGGCCATGGGGCATTTTCCTAGGGGGTCTCTCAAATTTTTAGAGGATGCAGCCTCCTTTTTATTCTGGTTTCCCAGCTGCATTTCCCTCTCTCTTTCCCTGTTGGGTGAGGTGCTTAGGAGGTACAGACTTCCCAAAATGCCTGATAACCAAGACCCCCTTCTAATATGTATCCTCTCCTGCACTTTTTCTGTTCCTTGTGTCAATCAATGGAATTCCTATGGACTTTATAGTTCTTCATATTGTTTCTTTCATCTCTCAGTACCCAAATTAATTTATCAGCAGACCTACAGTTTGTTTGTAAAGACAAATCTCTCTCATTTAATTTATCAATCAGTGGAATCCTTCTCATTGTTTCTTTTATCTCTCACTGCTAGTTTTACCTACAAGCAGACTCACAGTTTGTAAAGACAAATCTCTCATTCCTTTCAATCCCTCCTATTTTATTTTCTCAATAATTGTTTTTACAAACTTTAGTTATCATTTACTTAATTTCTGCTCCTGGGTCTTTTTTGGTTGTGCAGTTATTTGCAGTGACATCAATTTCTGTCCTTTTATAGACATTTCTGGATAGGCAAGGCTACTACCTGCATCCCTTTGATCACACATTGAATACATTGCACTAAGCAAGGAATCATACATGGTAAAAAGATTAGAGTTGCTATAGCACATAAGAGGAAAAAAGCATTTGTTTAACCCATAATCCACCAGGTAACCATGAAAACATGTCCCATTCCCATCCTTTCCATGTTTGGACTGGTACATGAGCTAACTTTCTTATTCCTTTTGTTACTTGTTTCACCACTTTTCTATTTGCTAACAGCAGTTTGAGTCATTTAATTTTCCATACACTTCCCCTTCTTCTGTTAATTGATAATCTATTACCATTCAATGTTTAAATATCACATTCCTCATCTGACTGGATTGGTTAGCAAGGTGGTCAAGAGCTGTTGCTGTCTTGTTGGTTATTATTTCAAAGACAGCTTGTAATCTAATTATCCAATTTAAATTATAAATGGGTTGTCTGGCACCTGATATTAGTTCATTTGGATTCCAAGTGTCTGCTCCATAGTGTTGTATGATTTGCTTAGGTGGTCATTCATCTTTTCCTCACTTTTGGGTGCTCCATCCAGCCAGGGATGCATCAATTGACCACTTTTCTCTAGTTAGATCATCATATACCTTGATTCCTGATTTGCCTGAACTTGTGGTAGCAAAAATAACAACAGTCTAATATACCCTACATAACATATCCCTGACCAGTTTGAAGGTAACCTGCGATGCCACCCATGTGGAGCCAGCCTTCAGATCTTCCTGGCCCTCTGCAAATCCAACAAATGTTAAGGGTAAAGATTTTTGCTACTTCTTCTCTTTGGATTAAAAAAATGATTCTCCCACTCCTGGCCCAAACATAACTGACAATATAAAGGTGAGATTATTAAGAAAACCATTCTAATGGTGTAGTCTAATCTCCTAACCTAATTCTTCTGTTGTCTTCCGCATCACTTCTGGTGACTGAAGGCACAGAAACCACTTAACATAAAATAATGACAGCAAGGATTAGCCTCCCAGTGACTGGAGATCCGAACGGAGGGATGCCCATACAGATTATTTCAGCAGATAGCCTGTGGGTAGGCACACAAGGCTTCCCCCAGTGTTGATGCACTGGCTGCTGCTGTGGTCCACTCCTGTGTTAGTGGAGTGTTGGTCGTGGTCTCCTGTCCTGCTCCTCCAGCTGAGATGTCCAAACCTCTGGGGCATTAGAGATCTTGACCTGAGTGTGATGGGTCCACCCATATTCAGCTGCCCTGAGGGCTGTTTCTGTGGTCAGTAACACTTGGAAAGGTCCACACCACTTGTCCACCAGTGGTGCTTCTTTCCACTCCTTAACTAGGACCCAATCTCCTGCTTGGATGTTGTGAACAGCAAAGTCCAAAGGCAGTGTCTGTGCTAACTGGGCTTCCTGTCTGTAACATGCCAGTCATGGGTCAGGAGAAAACCCACAACTCATGCTCCAGGTGCTCATGAGACAAACAGCCTCGTCTATTATTCATAACTCACTAAATACCCAATTCAAATTTCCCGGGCTAGACAGCCATTGGCTGATATCTCTTTCCCTGCCCAGCTTCCTGGGCTGTGGTGTGCTTTCTTCTCAGCTTGAATGGGGCTGGTCAAGGGTATATAATGTCTTCTATAATTTATCCAGGGACATGTTCAGACATGAACTAGGCCAGCTGAATTGGATTTGTGTTATGGTCAGATTCACTTTGTCCAGTCCAGAGCAGCTGCATTGTGACAATATTGTGACACCTGTCAAAGAGCTTTCATGAGACACAGTATCCTGGCCAGGTACTGGTTTAAATATATGTGTTCACCTCCCTGCCACAATGAAAATTAGCAGGGTAAGAATCCCGAACAATTTAAAGGGGAATAATGGAATATTCCCTTGGGTTTGGCTCTTATTCTTGCCAAAGCTAATGGCAAAAGCTGTACCCTTGGCATTTTAGTTTCTGTCACCAGTTTGAAAGGGTATTTCTTTATTCCTCCATTTATCCTTTCTACCTGATCTGAATTCTTGGGGTGCCAGGGGGTATGGAAGTCCCACTGTGCTCTCAAAGCAGCCATAATCCCCTGTAGGATCCCCCGGTAAAATGAGTTCCCCTGTCCAAGTCCACTGCCTTCACAATCCCATTTGTTAATTGAGCAAATGGTTGCTGAAGCCACTGGGAACTTTTCTGGCCACCCTGCCAGCTGGCATACCACTACCCTAATCCTAATATCTAAGCCCTCTTGTCCAGGGCATCTCAGCAAAGTACACCCAACATCCCTGGAAAGGATGTATAGCCCAAGGTCATTTCCCTGCCTTGCAATCTCCTTTGCAGTCTGGCTATTAGCTTTAGCCAGGCACTCTTCAACAGCTGGTTTTGCTACAACAAAGACCTAAGGCAGTGCATCTTGAAGAAAGTCTCTCCCAATGCTCAAGAGTCCAAAAGATTCCCTTCATGGAGACTCCCAATATTTGCAAAGTCAAAGCTCCTGGCATTCAGTGTTTATTGTCTTTTGTAACTCAGTTCTCCCCTTTTTCCTCTGCTGCACTACCTTTAATTATCTCCAACTCCTCTGGTGGAAAAGACAGCAGCAGAACCACAACCACCACAACCACTGCTTCTCCCCTTCCCCTGGGAACAGCAGAGCCACAGGGAGCAAAGGGGGGATTCCAGGGACCTCCAGCAGAAAATCTTTCTGAATCTTTCTAGACAGTCAATTACCTATTGTCTCTTTTGAGAACCTTGCCTGAATGTCCCTTAACAGCTTTTTTTCCTATTTCTCTGGGTAAATTCGTTACCTCCAACAAGCCATAAATTGAGCTCTTGTGAGCGGACTTTTCCCCTGCAACTTAACAAATTTCTCTCTTCTTATATTTCCAAACAAATGTACCACCCCACATGCATATTTGGTAAACCAGTAAATATTCACTAACTTACCCTAAGGTATGAGAGCTGGCTTTTTTGTATTTTATGCCTGCCCTGTTTGCAGTCTACAGCTGCTCCTCTTGGTTTAGGAAGGGGGATTCAACCATTTCTCATGTAACATTTCCTTGGGTTTTTTGTTAAGATTCTTTTATTCACTAATTAGTAAATAAAAATATTTAGCCAAATTATAATAATTTTGA